ATTGCAGACGATACCCATATTCTAGTTTCCCGTAATCTTTACTTCTCCGAGGAACAGGGACAGTGACAGGGTCCGTCGCCATTGGTCGCGGACAGAAGAAACGGATCGAAACCAAAATAAAGGGAAGGTTAAATCCCCAGTTCAGTCCCTCAACTTTTATTTTTAAACTAAATTTACTCTTAAACTTCAAAAAGTACTAAAAAAACCCTAAACTTCAATTTTTGGGACCAATTTTGTCCTTCGAAATTCTCCATTAAGAAATTCAATTTCTATTAATATTGAATATTACCTGAAAATAAAATAAATGATATGACAACATGAATATAATTTAATAAATAAAAATTTCTTTCCTTCCTTTTCATTTTCTCCTTCCCCTCCCTATTGGGTTCGAAGGAACCCAGCACTAGCACCTGGGTTCCTCAAACCCAGCACGCCACAGGTTCCTTCGAAGGAACCCAGGGCCTGAGTTCGAGGAACTCGCGCCTGGGTTTCATCGAACCCAAGCATGCTGGGTTCGGAGCAACCCGCACCTAGGTTCCTCAAACCCAGCACGCCTAGGTTCCTTCGAACCCAAGCGCAGGTTCCTCAAACCCAGGCGCAGGTTCCTCAAACCCAGGCCCTGGGTTCCTTTGAACCCAATGCCTAGGTCGAACCCGCCTGGATTTTTTCTTTTGTTTCTTTGTTGGCTGCAGTCATGCTTGGCTATCTTAGTATGAGATTTAGAGTTTTGTGTGGCTTCTGCTTACTTGAATTTCAAGATCTAGCTACTGTTGGTGTTGCTTGAATTAAAAAGGATGTTGTGTTTTTCACATTTGCCTTTTCTTTTACAGATTTGGTATAAGTTTGCAATATGATTGATTTGTTGAATCTTTATAGATTTGGTATAAGTTTACAGTGTAATTGATTTTTTGAATCAAATCTATTGGCTATTATTATTGTGCAAGGAACCAGATTTGGGTTCTATTAAAGAGGAGGTTTGGGGGAGAAGGAGATGGTGATTGGAGTGGTAAAGGATGACCAGAGCAATGAGGGATGATCGGTGCTGATTGGGTTGCAAGATAAAGAGACATCTGAGAATAGAGAGAGATGAGAAGGGAGAAAAAGAGGGGTTGGAAGATGAAGATGGGAGTATTTAAGGAATTTTAAATTTTTTAATATATAAATTAATTAAAATGATGTCGACAATAAAAATACTACAGTGAGTTAAGTTATTTTCCACATAATTAAAGATTTCAAACAAGAATTGATTTTGTAGCAACTTAACATGCTATTTGGCACTTCCGTGGATGAAAGGATGAAATTGGTCTCGAAAATTAAAGTTCAAGGATTTTTTTAGTACTTTTTGAAGTTTAAGGGTAAATTTAGTTCAAAAATAAAAGTTGAGGAGCTGAACTGGGGATTTAACCTAAAGGGAATTTGCAAGTATATCTGGCAATTTTTTACCCAACCCGTTAACCCGTCCATTACCTGCCCATTTAAAACGGGTTAGGGTCCTATATTTATGACCCGTAACCCGTTAAGAGAACTCGATGGGTCATGGGTCAATAACGGGTTAACCCATCGAGTTAACGAGTTTGACCCGTTTACCCGTTTAAAAATATAAAATTTTTTAATTTATTATTTATTTATTTTATTTTCCAATTCTCAATCGCACATAAACCTCTAATAATTGACTAATATTCCCTAATTAACTAATTGATTCTCTTGACTCATCATCTTCTAGAAGAAAAATAATCCCACTCCACTCCTAACTTATCTCTCGACCTTTCCTATTCTTACTTGCCCTAATACTCTCGAAGACTCTAACTCTTCAAACTTCAAATTCTTCTCATATTCTTCAACCTCCATAGTCCATACAGCCTTTAACTTTCAAGCTTCGACTCCACCTTTTCTTTTTAGTTTTTAACATTATCTCAGACTTAGATCTTAATCTTATCGAGTCACTGTTGCGTCCACTTAGCCATTTCTTTTTTTCTCCTATGAGTCCGGCAAGTGCTCTTTTTGTCACCAACTTTTCTCTCCAAATATTTCAAGGTAAGTTGTTTACTTATTTATGCTTTTTAGTTTTCTTT